GAGGTGAGTATTCCAAGGTCCTTTACAGAGCTTGGGTCATCAACAAGATCTTGACTATTCAGCTTGTATTTTATTTTCTGATTTTTTTTGCCAATATGTAAGACAGAGCGTTTATTTGTTGAGATTTGAAGTTGCCATTTGTTTGACCATTCAGATACATAGTCAGGATCTTTTTGTAGGGTAGCAGTATTGTCTGTGGTATTGAACAGCTTTACATCATCAGCGAAGAGAACGCAATTGCTCTTAATATGATCACAGAGGTCGTTTATGTAGAGTATGAAGAGAGTTGGTCCTAGAACACTGCCCTGGGGGACACCACTATTGACAGGTACTGGATTTGATAGGACGCTCCCGATTTTGACCATTTGTTGTCTGTTTGACAGGAATGCTTCTATCCAGTTATTCAGTTGTCCAGAGATACCATAGGATTTTATTTTTAGGAGTAGTTTGTCGTGTACCACTGAATCAAAGGCTTTACAGAAGTCTATGTAGATTGCGTCTATTGCTTTGCCCTGGTCGAGTTGTGTCGTCCATATGTTTTTGCAGTGTAAGAGTTGCAGATTACAGGATAGTTTTTTTCTGAAACCAAATTGTTTATTGGAGAGTAGGTTGTTTGACTCTAAGTGGAGGATGATGGATTGGTTAATAATTGATTCCATGACTTTACAGGTGACGCAGCATAAGGAGATTGGCCTGTAATTTTCAACTAGGCTTGGGTCTCCCTTTTTGAAGATGGGGATGACTGTGGCTTGTGACCATAGGTTAGGCAAGGAGCTGGTCCTGAAAGATTTTTCAAAGATTATGCTTAGAGGTTTGGCTATGGCAGTGGATAGCTTTCTTAAGAAGTAGGCACATATTCCATCCGGTCCAATAGATAGAGATGGTTTTAGATTGCGTAGTGATTTTTCAACATTGTCTTCTGTGAAATCGATATGTATTAGATCATTGTTGTTATCTGTGGTACGGCTAGGAAATACTGGGCATGATCCATTGCTGTTTACAAATACTGAGCCGAAGAATGTGTTAAAGATGTTGGCTTTAATGGTGTCGTCGTTGCAGTCTTTACCATCAGGTCCTATCAAGGGAGGGATGGACCTTGAGTCTTTTAGTTTGTTGTTTACAAAATTGTAAAAAGCACGGGTGGAATTGGTGCTTAGAAGGTTTTCCTCTTGTTTAATGTGATAATTGGTGCATTCGGTCTTTATCTGGTGGCATAAATTTTTGTATCGGTTTTTGAAATTGGCAACGTGACCAGATTTGTTTTTCCGCCAGAGTGATCTCTTTTTGGATTGAAGTTTCCTTATTGATATGGGTAATGTGCTTTTTTGTTTTGTTTTGGGAGTTGTTGTTGGAACATATAGTTTGATGACTCTTTTGACTTCAAGTAAAAATATGTTGTAATGGTCTTCAACAGTATTGCATCCAGTGAATAGAGATTAGTGAGTTTGGAGCTTGGTAATTGATCTGAGTTATTGGGTACCACATTTGTCAAGCTGCATTACAAAGCCTGATTACTTGTTTTCACTTTTTTTTAACATGCCAGTTTAAGACAGGAACCAGTCACTTTCTATATTGCAGGTAGTCCTCGACTTACGACAGTTCTTTTTTAATGACTGTTCAAAGTTACAATGGCACTGAAAAATGTGACTTATGACCTTTTTTCACAGTTATGAATTTGCAGCATGATCCTGTGATCAGAATTCAGATGCTTGGTAACTGAAAACTGATTCATACTTATTGTCATGCCCCTGTCAAAATCTGATTTGGAGGGGGAGGCTGAGCAGATGACAGGGAGTGGGAGTGTGGCTCCATTGGCTGTAGAAGAAACTGGAGAAGGGCGAAGTCTGGCTGGGCAGAGCAGGGGAGAGGGAAAGCGAGGGAGAGGGAATTCAGAGGAAGACCAGGCCCCTCCCCTCTTCATCCTAGGTCACGCAGGGAAGAACAGAGAAAGGAGCAACGTGAGTTGCGTGGCTTACAGGGGAGGAAAGGGCCCTGATTCCCTTCATTAGCTGCAGCTGGGAACACAGTGTTTAAAAAGGGAAGCTGCGTGCAGCAAGTTGTTTTGGAGCAACTTGTGAATTATCTGGTATCATGGAGGCTTATCTGTGTTCCTGGCATCTTCCCAACTGTGTGTGTATGCAATTCCTTCTCCTGCCCTGTGAAGTTAATTACTGCAACATGGTTTGTTTGGATTTTTAGTTACAGTTTGTATGTACTTTGTTTTCGGACTGAATTTCCTCCACTTAAAGACTGTTCCTGGGAGAGTTTTTCTCCAACCGAAGGTAACCTGGACATTGGGGGCAAAGTTGGAGATAGTAAAGGGACTCTTCTTGCTTATTTGACTGTGTTGCCTTTGTGCCACACCCTGGGTCATCACGCTTATGACCATTGCTGCATCCCAAGGTCATGTAATCACTTTTTGCAACCTTCTGACAAGCAAAGTCAACAGGGAAGCCAGATGCATTTAACAAACTGGTTACTAACTTACACAGTTGTAAAATGGGGCAAAACTCATTTAACAAATATCTCACTTAACAACAGAAATTTTGGGCTCAATTGTCCTTGTAAATCATGGACTACCTGTATCACCTCTCTGTTTAATATAAATTCATACCTTCATGTGTTAACTTTCACATAAAATTAAACACATGAAAACATTTGGGCTGCATAGAAAATTATTTTACTATAGTCAAAATTGTGATAATCTCTTGCTCTTTTCCTTCACTTGCCAAGACAAATAACCCTGCTTCTAATATGACAGTATGATGTGGGTATGGTTACTGGTAGGTAATACTATGGACATGTAAATGAGTAGAAAAGTTTTACTGAGTTTTTATTAATCCACAAAATAATTCCTTATCTGCAGTAGTTGGTTCAATTTTTATAAAGTGTTCTCTATTAGCAATAGTTAATTCAGTTGCTTTCGCTGCTTAAAAGGGCTTGCCCTCTCCAATTAAAAAGTAATTGTGAATTCCATAGTCTTCTCCTAATTCTACTGCTATACATGGTGAGGAAACAGACTTGGGATTCATACTGATCTCCTTATATAGTTGTAGCTTCTTTCCAATTGAAGTGAATTTGGTATTATGGATGCTTAGAAATGACTAAATTACAACTGTTTTATAATTTATGATGCATCTGACAATAAAGGTGGAAAGAGGAAGGAACTTATGGTGAGGCTGATGAAAATAACATATAAAATGGTGACGATTTTGAACTGTAATATAGAAGGGGATTTTAAAATATGTTACGTACTAAATTCAGTATTGATTTATGTTCTGTGTTTTGTTTTCTAGACATGGAGATGACTTGATTGTGACACCGTTTGCTCAGGTAAGTACCACATATTACAGTGTTTCCCCAAAAATAATACCCTGTCTTATATTTTTTTTCCACCAAAAAAGGCACCAGATCTTATTTTCGGGGGATGTCATCCACTGACTAGCCTCACTTGTGCGCGTCGTCCCCAGCCTCGTTTTTGCTGTCAGAGGCCTTCAGGATCTTCTTTTGTAGCCAGCAAGACTTTCCTGAAGGCCTCTGCAGCTGATAACAGAACTCCAGATTGATCTGGAGCTTTCTTATCAGCTACAGAGGCCTTCAGGAAAGCCTTGCTAGCCTTGCTGGCTGCAGAAGAAATGGGCCAGCAACGCAGGTGTCGGGGTGTGTGAGGCCTGGCTACAACTCTCCAAAGGTAAGTAGTAGGGCAGCTCCATCTCGACCCTAGCTTAATTTTTACTAGTACACTCTGGAGTGGATGGGATCTTAATTAGGGCTTGTTTTGGGGGTAGGGCTTATATTGGGTGTACATGTAAGAAATCAAGCTAGGACTTACGTTCAGGATAGGTCATATTTTCAGGGAAACAGGGTATATAGCCGGATAAAAAAAGAGAGAATCTCTATTTTCAGTTTCAGGCTTCCAATTATAGCACTAGAAGAATTATAATCCCAGCTATGGCATAATCTTAACTGGCAAAAGAAAAGAAAGAAATGTTATTTTTACTTGTATTATTTGTTTGTTGAAGTCATAATCTGTCATTAGTCAAACACTATATAACATGATGCACTTCGATAGTGACAGACACATCTGAGTGATGATTGCAAAGGCACACTGCTTGATAAAAGTTCTCAAGACAGATGTTCAGGACTCAAAGCCATCCTACTAATCTGGTGACTATAGATATCCTAAGCAGTTGTATTTGTTAATATTTCTCCTAGCGGGTATCAGTTAGGACACTAGAATGGTAACTATTTCTCTTTAAGCATATAAAGAGTTATTCTCAAACATACATGCCATATCAACAAAACAGGATTGAATGGATTTATTAGAAAATGTCCTTATTTCATTTAGCTACCAAATATTAAAAGGTTTTTACTGCATAAATATTTTATTTTTATGATAATTTGGACAGTAGCACAAAAAAATTATTGGCAAAATTTTGTCATTTGAGAGAAGAGGAATAGGAGTTGCTTTCTAGGAAATTTAGTTTTCCCTAAGACAAAGTCTATTTTTTGAAAACAAATAATAAATTGGTGTTTTAGTAAGGAAGAGATCACTAAAACTATCACCCTAGTATCATTGTAGTATGTATGCATTTCAAAATAATTAGCAAACACTTAAGGCAGACACACAAAAATCCTGAAAAGATTAATAACTTTGGTTTCTCTTCAGATCACACAATAACCTGTTTAGGAAGCCACCTGTTCAGAAAGCTGTCTGTTTATTGTTGGCAAATAAATCACGGCAAGAAAAGCATCATACCTGAAGAATTTGATAGTAAATTTTTATGCACTTTGTTTGCTACAGGTGCTTGCCAGTTTACGTACTGTACGGAACAATTTTGCTGCATTAACCAACCTTCAGGATCGAGCACCTAGCAAGTAAGTGTGGGCTTTTTCTGTTTCCTACCAAGTTTGTTTTTATTTAAATGCACCTTTTACATTGCATAAGTTCTCCTTTATGTAAGTGAGCTTAAACACAACAATGTAAAACAAAGATGGGCTTCATTTAACACGAGGCCTGAAGGAGCCCTCCAAATTCTACTTGTTTTGGCATCTCTAAATGCAATTGCTGAAAATAAGCAGCATGGCTTCTGACTGTTTTGAGAGGGGAAATCCAATATAAACGACAGTTGTTTTAAAAAAGAGAGAAAGAAAGAAACAAGTCCCATCTGCTGAAAATGAGGAAAGTTCCAACATTCCTTGTGTGTATGATATGACCATACTTACTTCAAAAGTTGAAAGTTCATAATATGTGGAAGGCATCAGTTGCTGAATATTCCCAGACCCCAGTGGGGGGACGGACGGACTTGTATAATCTAAAACCAGGGATGGGATTCTACCAGTTTGCACCTATTCTCTAGAACCGGTTGTTAACATTCTAAGCAATTCGGAGAACTGGTTGTTAGAAGAAATTACTGGCCTAATCCTGTAAGGAAAGCAGGAAGGAAACATTCTGGTGTTGCTTACAGAAACTGCCTCTCTGTTAACCCTTATTACATTCTTGGCAGGACTAGACTTCCCCCTCCTTTGCTGGTACTATGCTTGTGTGGAGTGACCATTGAAAAAAGTGACTTATGACCATTTTTCACACTTACAACTGTTGCAGCATCCCCACAGTCATGAGAGGCCAGGCGAGGAGATGCGTGCCTCGATGTGAGTGATATTGAGTTGGCCAAGCCCAGCCAATAACATGACCACCAAGCCATGTCCACCCAGTCACATGACCACCAAGCCACACCCACCAACTAAGCCATGCCCACAGAACCGGTTGTTAAAAAAATTGAATCCCACCCTTGCATCAAACCATGTATTTTCTATGTTGCATTAAGTATGGCCTTTATATTATTAATTCTTTCTGTGTTTTTAATTATTAAAAAGAAATATTTCAGTCTATCCCAAGATCATCTAATAATAAATAAATACATGATTTCATGCTTATGACTTTTATTTTTTGACTCTCTCTCTCCCTTCTTCCCCAGACGGTCACCAATGTGTAACCAACCATCTATCAACAAAGCAACCATAACAGGTAAGATACCTTAAAACAGTCACACTAATTTAATAAGGTGATGTTACTATCTTGTAAATATATCACACTTTGCATAATCTGTTCCTGATGTATACTTTATAAAGTCCTTTAAAAGTCCATAAAAGTCTTTGTAGCTCATATAAGTATATAAGTAGAATTTCTGCTTGATCTGAAATCTATCTTCCAGTTTCCCAGATTTTTGTTTTTTGTTCATTCAAGCTACTTTGTGTAGTTTTCATGAGCTTTATTGCTATGAGGAAGTTGCCCTTACTATTGTTTTCCCTCTACACATCTCTCCAGCTCTCTGTAGTTGAAAAAAAGGAGCAACGGAGGAATTCCTTCATAATACATTTAATATGGATTTGATACAGACATGAAAATATCCGTTTCTTCCTGTTTGAATAAAAAGAAAGCAATATCTTTTTTTAAAAAAAAATCAGTGATAATGGTTGAAAAAATTCAGAACATGGATCAATCTTTAATATCCTTATTGTAAATGAAGGCCAGCCTGTCCAACACTCAGCATATTTGTACTTCCTGGGGCCCATTTGGTCAGGAATGACTTTCACTTCTCGGCTATTGACTTATGCGCTCAAATTTAAAAGTGTTTTTTTCCAGGGGTGGGATCCAACCGGTTTAACTACCAGTTCAGTGATTTATGATTTGCTTCCCTGCACGCTGTGCATGCGTGTAAATCTTCGTCAGCTTGCTGCCTGGACAGCTGAGCAGTGCACTTTTTTCCTGCTTTTTCAACCTCAGCTGCCATGCGAGGAACCGGTTCTATGTCTGCTGCTCTTCAGAGCTACCGGTTCTACAGAGGTGGACAGAACCGGTAGAATCCCACCCCTGGTTTTTCCCCACCATTTCGATTTTTTTTTTTAGCGTTGTACAATGGTGCTGGATAAAAATATTTTGTGTATTTTTAAATGAATTGCTGCAATTGTTCCTTATTAAAAGTTTCTGGGAATCCAGTGATACCAGAATGGGAAACCTGAATATGGAACTAGAGTATTTTAGCCAGAGTTGGATAACATATAACAAAGAGGATCTAAACATAACGAAGTGTACTGTTGGATGCAGGTTAAGCTTTCAGCATGTAGTAGTGGTTGCAGTCATTTCTGGCAGGAACATCAAATTTATTGGTAACCATTTCCCTGATGGAAGGAATAAGGAATATTGCAATCAGTCCCCATGGTTTGAAGGGCATAGATGCAGTAACTTGCTATGTTTCAGAATGCATACAAATATTGTTGGGGAAACATGTTATTTTAGCCATGCTGCAGCCTGCATATAAAGCTGTCATCCTGTTGTATCTGAGCAAATCTGCTACCTGTATTGCATGCTTCCAGAGAACGCCTACGTATATTGCCCTGAGTTCCTTTGGGGAATACAGGTGGGATGTAAATAAAGCACAGTAATTCGTCTGTTAATGTATGCCCAGGCTTGCTGCTCCAGGGGACTTTCCCATTCTCTTAGGAAAGAGGAAAACCAGTCTTTACATGCACAGAATTTTAGGTGAAATGAACAGAGAGGGCTATACTGGGAAGTTTCATGTGTGTGTCGTACTTATTTTCTCTTCCCAGAAGGGATTGTTAAATCATATCATGGGAAAGTTAGCACTGATTTAAAGCTAAGCATTAAACACCATTGCTACTACAAAAAGCAAAGTAAGCTCATTTTCACTTCTGTGAAATATATAATACAGATAGAATGGGTTGACTGTAAGTTTTTGTTCTTCCTTTTACTTGGTGGCACATTACATTTTTATTGATCTCAGAGCAAAACTGGGCATTGAAATGAATAACTTGAATTTAAAGAAAAAGAAAATGCAGATACAAGTTGGGAGAAAAGGAAGAAAACCATATGTATAGAGAAATGTTAGCTGTTTCCCTGTTCTAGATTGAGTCCCTGAGCCTGCAATTTACTTTTTTTAAAGCCATCTTGTAATTGCTAATTCTTGCAGCCCACACCATTAGAAAATGTATAGCTATAATGAAGTTGATGCAAAATCAGTGTTAAAGATGACTTAGTACTTATCCCAATCAAAACCTCAGATGTATGGATGTGACTTACTTGAAACGGTACTTTTCTGTACTCACTGCTTTATATTACATGATAAGCATGTGCAATATGACTTGAGGACATGCTAATGAAGATGAGGTTTCATTACAGATAAACATTTATAGAGTAAAATGCAACTACTAAAATACGAGATATTCATGTATGCAGGTGTTAAGGTTTTGTGGATTTGATGTAGCCACTTGTAAGTTTAAGGCCTGCTATTGATCCTATCTATCCTGATCTATCTATTGATCCTGTTTTGAGAACAATGATACTATTTATTTCCTTATTTTCTGCTCTTAATTTTACATCACTTGGTTTCTTTTATTAATAGAGATGCTCTTCCTTTCTAACGATTAACTGCTTTTTCTTTTGCCATTTCCTTCCGTCTTCTCATAATACTGTAATTATTTGGCCAGAGTGTGTTGAATCGCTGACATATACGGATTCCTATCAGCACTCCTCACAATTAATATCCAGCAGTTTGAGTTAATCTGCACAGCTATCTGAAAGTTGAGGAGTATTTCAATTCTGACAGAACAGCATTATAACTGAAAAGTCCCATTAAAATACCTTACATGAGCAAAATCAGAAAGTGAAAGATTATTATGTAGTAAATATATCTCAAAATATATATGGCAATAATTGATGACAAGACATGTGGTGGTGTAAGCCTTCAGGTTAGTAGAAATCCATTTTGTAATTCAGAAATGAGAATATTGATTTTATGCTGGAATGAGGAGAGAGACTAGTCTTATGACAATGCAGCATTCTTCACAAGAATATGTTTATAGATTGCCAATATTTAATTTTTTATCAAGGGAGAAAAGATTTTGGGTGATTGTGAGGAAGCCAGGATAATTTTAACATTAAAAAAAGATTAATTTTGTTCTTATTCAGCTCTTGCAATTTATTTCTGCCCATTAAATGCAGATAGTGTATTTAAAGTCAACTAATCTTATGCTAGGGCAACTCCGAAACCATTAGTTATATGTCTCCAGTCCCCACTTATGTTTTCCAGAGCATCCCCAGATTGGATAGCTAAAATGCAATAATTATCAGCACTGTGCTTTTACTGCTTTGAGTCGTTTTAAGTTTGAAAATAGATTGATTAACCATAACACACCTATTTTGAAGATTTAATTATTTAAGATTCTAAAAAGAGCTGGAATGTTTTAATCCCATTCTTCCAGTAACAGTCTCTAATTATCAGGCATAAAAGCTTATGATCCTCAGAGGCTAGTGTAATAAAAAGGCAGCTTTGAGTTTGTTTGTTTGTTTTTTTAAAAAAACTCCACATTGTTTAAAAGCTCACCCAGGGTAGAAGAAAAAACAATAATTTTCTTTATCTAATAGCAATTACTAAGATGTCAGGATCCCACTGGTTCTGAGGTTCATTATTATTCCTTAAAACTAAATACCATCTTAAAATTTACTCCTTGGATTAATCCAGCATTCTTGCAACAGTAGCCTACAGTAGGCTTCAACACTATGAATGTATGTTTCATAATAACCATAATTATTAGAAAAGGGTTGCAAATTTAAAAGCTGTTTAACAGTACAGTATAATCCTGTGAAATCCTACTCAGAAGTAAGTCACATGATATTTACTTTGGCTTACACTCAGGAAAATATTAATAAAGCTGAAGATTGAAAAGAAAGTTGAAGCAAAACACTGTCTGAGCGTAAGCATGGAATTTCCTCTGGAAGCAGCATGTGGGAGACTGAACCTAATACTTCTCTTCTTGTAAGAAATTTTCTGACAACTTTCTCAGATCTGAGATTTAAACTCCAAACGATAGGGTTTGCTTTTTTCCATGGATCGGTCAGATCCAGCTAGCTGAACAAACATAAAGCTGACCCAAACATTTAAGAGGTACCAAAGGTACAATTTCGTATTTTGTCTGAACTCATTTCCCTACCTCTAATCATAACATTATATTTGATGTTACAATCATTACCATAACAACAGATTTTACAGCACCAGCACAGAGTTTCCAGGCAGGGTATATAAACCCCTGGTAATGTGGCAATAGAAGGTTTATAAAGACAAGCCAAGACAATAATAATTTTCCAGACCACCTTAGCCAGTTTGAAATTTGGCTCCAGATTCCTTTCTCATAGTGTTGCCAAAGGTGTTGAAGTGCTGACAATTCAACTTGTGTTCCTGGTAAAAAGTTTCACACTTAGTGGTCTTGCGGAACAGAGAACCTTCTTTGATAGCTTTAGGATATTTATTTTTTTAAAGGAATGAGTTTCAGTTTGCCATGTACTTAATGCTTAGTGGAAGTATTAGCGATCTCAGGTTCCAAACAGTTGAGGCATTCATAGTAGACTTGATAGCCCAAGACATGGCCTCAGTCCGTAGTTCAAGATGTGCAAAGCTTCTGTATAAAATGTTGAGGTTTTCAATGCTACAATTTTCTCTCAATGTTGCCTGTAAACTCAACGTTCCTCATATTTTTGAAAAGGCTATTAGAAAAGAACTGCTTCATCTGCTCAAAATTCAGGAAGATCTGTAATTAGAATTCTCTGTGTGTGAAAGAGAGAGAGAGAGAAAGAGAGAGAGAAAGAGAGAGAGAGAGAGAGAGAGAGAGTGTTCTAGGACCAACTCTCTTCATACTCTACATAAACGACCTCTGTGATCATATTAAGAGCAATTGCGTTCTTTTCGCTGATGATGTAAAGCTGTTCAATACCACAGACAATACTGCTACCCTACAAAAAGATCTTGACTATGTATCAGAATGGTCAAACAAATGGCAACTTCAAATCTCAACAAACAAATGCTCTGTCCTACATATTGGCAAAAAAAATCAGAAAATAAAATACAAGCTGAATAGTCAAGAACTTGTTGATGACCCAAGCTCTGTAAAGGACCTTGGAATACTCACCTC